GCGTCACCCAAGTACCCCAGACGGGAGCGGGTTTCTAGCTACCGACTCTGCTCTCCCCGCCTCCCGGCGCCCTCACCCCCCTCCCGCCGTCGCCCTCAGAGCGCACGGTCGGGCGCAGCCCATTTTGGCACCGAGGCTTCCAGGTGCCCAGCGCGGAGGCGGAGCCGGGTTACAGCCGCCTCCGCGGCGCCACGGAGAAGACCCCCGGGAGTTCGGTAGCCCCAGCGCTCCTTCTGAGGCTCCAGCGCCCCAAACCTCCACCAGCTCACCTCATTCCTCCTCTCGGCACTCCGGGCGCGAAGCTAGCGACTTGCTAGCAAAGCAAAGACCGCAGCGCCAAGTGGCGCGCGCTGGGCAGTGGCCCGGGCAACCCCGATCGCAACTGGAGACCTCAGCCGAGCCGGCCGGCCAGTGGGCAACAGGACCATGACTGCCGAGCGACCCGGCTCGCGTGTCCCCGCGCACAGTCTCCTGTCTGCCCTCTGGGCGGCATCGCTGCTCCTGCTGGGTGTGCCGCGCCTTTCCGTGCGGGCGGATGGTGAGTGTTCCAGAGGCAACAGGGCCTGGGGTGGAGCGTGGGGTCCGGCGGGGAAGGCGACTCTCGCCGGAGCTGCTCCTTCGGAAGGGCAGGGCAAGCATCAAGCCCGGGAGGAAGGAGGCGAGCGGCGGTCCTGTGACCCAGCACCCCTCTCCCGGTCCATCGAGTCTCTGCGCGCCAGAGCGCCCAGCACCAGCCTAGGTGCTTGGACTCTCCCTCCCTTCGCTGAGGGCGCGCACTGGGAAGAGCCTGTGAGTTGGTCCTGCGGTCCCGCCGCTAGCTTTTCCAAGGTCCAGGTTAAAGCTTTTTAGAATGAAATCACGTCTTGGGTACCCTAGAACCACCTTGGCTGGGATTACGTTTCCACCACCTTTCAATTTCTCAAGGACTGTTAAATGTGTTGGACGACAGGACCGTTAGGTAGATAACAACCTCGGATGCACTGACTTGGACCAGGACGAGTGGGAATTCACTAGGCGAAGAGAAGAGAGTGCCTTGAGTAGAGGGAATAGCTGTCGCTTCTGCAAAGACTCTGAGTGGCAGGGAAAATGGGACAGATGATTAAAAAAAACAATGGGGCTGGAGCCCATGCAAGGTGGGGATGAGACATGAAATATAGGAGATTCTTTTGAGAATTGACCCGCTTTGGTTTTTGAACCTGAATTCAGCTTTTAATACCTGCCGTAAGTCAGCAGGTTCCGGGGGCCCAGTATCAATTCCTTTTTGAAAAGCTAATTCAACCGTGTGTGTGTGTGTGTGTGTGTGTGTGTGTGTGTGTGTGTGT